ATCGTAGGTATTATAAGGATAGTAAATGACGAATTTCCCTTGTTTATTGAAGGCACACTCCTTCCCTATTATCTACTCCTGATCAGCATCCTTCATGTCGCTCTATCCTGCATAGCATTATTGAGCTCTTCGATGGTCAGCCCGGTACCCTTTTTTAGCAACATATATGTGTAGCGTGCGGCATAGCTTTATGTGTGGGAAGGGAAGACAGGCACCGGCTCTATCGGATGCACGTAGCTTTACTAATGCCATGAACATAGCTATACAAACGCCATATGCATAGTACATCTGTCATGACATCACCACTGGTGGCACCTAGTGGCGCTTCTTAAATACTCCAAATTGAGTGCGACAGCCTGTATATCTGCGTGCGGGCTTACGTGGTTATCACATAGCTATGTTCATGAATACGTTTGTAATATGTCACTAATTGCATGAACGGTGACTCACCGAGTAGATAAATGAATATAAGGATAGCTGGGAAGACGACTTCTCTGCACACAGCTGCTCATACCTCTTCAGCAACGCTAGAATGTCACCTGAAACAAGTGAACAACTGATATAACGGCTCGTCGATGCTCCATACTGCTTGAGCAACCGCAAGAATGAAGCAAGTGAATAAGGGACATAAACCCCGCATGTATACAACCAACACGTGAATTTCAATAGTCGATTTTCCTGCATATATATCCTGTTATAGTTGCTGTTAGTTAGTTAGTTATAGTCCAGATAGTTGCTGCTAGGTGGCGCACCTGTGGTCGCTCGGCGCCGCTGCAGGAAGCGATACATCTCCCAGATGCTGTCTCGCAGCGCGGTGTCACCAAAGGTGAAGTAGCAGAGGTCACGACCTGCCTGCGCCGCCGCCATCAGCTGTATGAGACCTGCGGCGAAGAAGGTGAGCGTGCATCAGCTAACGCCATGGTAACGCCATGGTAACGCGATGGTGACGCGATGGTAACGTGGTGGTAATGCCATGGTAATGCTGTGGTAATACCATGGTAACATTGCGGTAATGTCATGGTAACGCTGCAGTAACGCCATGGTAACACTGCAGTGATGCCATGGTAATGCTTCGGTAATACCATGGTAACACTGCAGAAATGCCATGGTAACGCCACGGTGGTGGCAGGGTAACGTCACAGTGATGCTACAGTAATGCCACGGCAATTAATGCGATAACATTGCAGCAGCGGGACCTAGGGAGAGCTTGTGCCACGCTGGAAAAGTGGTACACGGGTTCGCTGTGCCCACCGACTGACATCAGATTGGATTTTGTAGCTAGAACCGTTTTTCCCAAGATATAGAAGATGACATGGCGATCGCCACATTTTACTGCACCCAAACCCTCATCTGCACCGCACAGACCACGCCCCCCCCCCTGTGTCCACGCCCGCGCAACCTACTCACTCTTCAGGTGCGGGTCACCACGGAATGCCCCGCATCCCCAGTTGCCCGTGGCGACGGCCGGCAGATGGCGCTGCGGTGCGCCTCGCGAGTGAAAGCCGACGTAAGCTTTGTTGAGTTCGCGCGTCACGGAGGCGAGGCAGTACTGGGACGACGGCTGGCTGTAGTGAAGGGCGTCCATAGCAACCACCTCCACCAACCTCCGCCCCCACGCATCCCTGCATGACAGGCAAGGCCACAATAGGCACACTGAGCACTAACAATGTTAATGGGGTTAGCCGCTAGCTTTGTCAGCAGGTGGCGCAGCGGGAGTTAGAGGTGTTACAACGATTGCGCAATCAACCGGAAAGATACAGGAATCACGAATAGCCGATCGTATCGTCATAGCGATATAACCAAGTTAAAATGATGCTTCAATAATATCTGCCAGGCATCACTTCAGAGAGGCCTGACTATACTAGCAACGTTTTAAGTTAAATTGATATATCGAAAAATAGCTTTATAACAATATTATTAAGCTCATTTTAACCTTTGAGTTGCAGTAGTTTTCTTGCGTATTCCCATGCAGTCTAGAATTATAAAAAAGCAACTTTAGTGTATCATGACAGTAAGTTATCGCTACATCGAGTCAGTATCCCATAATTATAAATATGCGACAATGGCATGTGCGCAACGTCAGTCGTAATGTGGTAAATTAATCGATGCCAGGTTCTCTAGTACGAGGTACGCAAGTACCTTGTACAGTACTTTGCATATAATCACGCGGCATTACATTCTTACATGATTCTTATATTGCTTATATCCTTCAAGACTTAGCTTGGCCTCAGTCTATACGCCCCTCACTACGTTGCCGACCGCGAC